TATTTAGTCTATTTTAATAATATTACGAATAAAGTTTTATATAAAATATATATAGAATGTCTGTATAATATTTAAAAAAATGAATATTACCAAATATTTATCATATATAAATGTAATGTAAAAATATAAAAATGAATATTATCAAATATTTATCAAATATTCTATGCTGTTTGGGATAGCATTATCAGAATACGCTACACTACGCGGCCTTATATTGTTGATAATAGCTGAATTGCGTAAGTGACCTAGCATTAATTACACTTCGTGAACTGCAACTTATTTGTAAAAACAAGATTGGGTAGTGCTAAGTTAAAAAGATAAAAGTTAAGTTAAAAAGTTAATTTTAATTTAACTTAATTACATTTTAGACTCTTAACTTTTTAACTTAATTTAGTTACTCAATTTAGTTTTATTGGTAATTAATAACTTTTAATTTGATTTTTTTTAAATCAATCTTTAGATGCATTGCGAAAGGCTAATGAGTATATAATTTAGTAATTTTATATTGTATAATTTACTTGTCTTTACTTGTGAAGAAAAATAATTTAAATAAATAAGCTGTTAAATAATAAGAAACGAAAAATTACGTAAAATAGTTAAATTTTTTCTTTTTTTTTTTTATTGTTCGTTCGAACTAAATTTAACTTTTGATTTTTTAATTACTTTTTTTTATTAACTTAATTTTTAATTAAGTTTTTTAAATTAATTAATTTTATTATGAATTAACTTTTGATATTTTAATTAAGTTAAATTTTCATGATTCTAATATCTTATATTTATTTATCTTATAATACGATTCTACAATAAATTTGTAATCGAAGTCTTATTCTTAATTGGTGAAATTGGCCAATCAGCATTAGTCACATGCGTTGGCTTTTGTCAACTGATAAGATTCGATTGCACCAATATTACTTTGATTTTAAGCAAAAAAAAACTTAAATCTTTTTCTATCTCGTTTTAAAATCGAAAAGAGATAGAAAGAATTTTAAGCCTCGCTTAAACGTTGGTGCAATCGGAAGTAAGACTTAGGATTACCATTGATTACCAACTCATTGTAGAATCAGTATTATTTATGTTAAGATATATACACACACACATCAATTAAAATACAATCTATGACGAAGTCTTTCGACGAAATAACTTTCTGCTGCACAATCGTTACGGCATTTGTGCACGTCTCGATCGAGTCAAACGAGGTTATGTGAGAGCCGAGTGGGAATTGTAAAGAAATTATTTTTATTTTGAAGTAACTCACTTAAAGACAAGATGACAACGAGCGCAGGAATAGAGAAAAGAACGAACATGCGAAATGTCTTCGCTACTTCACTTATTGTAAGTGAATTATTAGGTATGGGAAAAAGTTCGTGGCATTTTTCCCGTTAGATGGCATTAAAAAAACGCCACGATTTTTTCCCATATCTAATATTATGCTTAGTTTACGTTTTTTGTTTTGAATTGTATTTTATAATTCTTAAATAATTTTTTATAATTCTTAAATTATTTTTTTTTCTGAATGACATTGACATAAACATTATTGAACACATCATTGATTGTAAAATGAGGAAAATTAACTAGATTTGCTTCTACAATTATCGATTTCATCATATCTATTGATAATTTATTTATTGATAATTGATAAGCTATAATTGATTTTTCTCTTCTTTTTTTATTGAAATTTTAGATTAAACAGCCTTTTATATCACAATTAAACGAATATTAATAAAATATAAAAAAAGGAAAAAGTTAAAATATACTTTTATATAT